ACACAATTTTTTAACTTGTAAGTGTGTTTGATTTTTAACTTGTAAGTGTGTTTGATTTTTAACTTGTAAGTGTGTTTGATTTAAAAAAAAGCTATTTTGTATCATTTTGTAATAATTGAAATAAAAAAAAAAAAACATATCCATTACATACATCATTGTATCATTGTATTCCTATAATATTTTTCAATATCGATGTTTAGAAAATTTTGTATCACTTATGCAAATAAGTTATGGTGTTAAGTGGCCGGAGCCCCGGCTAAAAATGAGACTTTATTCAAACCCGGCTCCGGGTAAACTATAAGATTTAACAGCGGTTGATAACCGGGACTAGAAAAAATTTATAATACTTTATATATTATAATTTTATGCTTACAGTTATTATTTATTAAATACTGGCATATATTTATATATTTTCAAACACTAATTTACTTCCAGCAAGATTGCAGGCAACCACTATTAAGTTATGAGTTACTTTAAAATAGAGCCACTTTAGATGATAGGTTTTCATAAAGATTGATATTGTAGATGAGAAACAATACAGGAGCAAAGATTTAAGGGTACCACAAGATACCTAGTGGTACACTTAAAGTCACTTGAAATAAAAAAGAGTGTAGGCCTTCAAGAATAACTTTATTACTGCAATTAGTAAGAAATAATTTAATAATCTCAAAACTTTTATATAAAGAAACTAATAACAGAGTGAAAACTAATCGTAGGATAGTTAGAGAGGTCAAAGTGTTATCTAGAGTTTTGAAAAATAGGAATCTCTTATTTAGCAGTTTTTAAAATTTAAATATTATTAAAGAATATATAAGATTAAATGTTAGATTTACTTTAGTTAATAACACTGTTAAAGGCTAACCAAAAGTCTCTAGAACCTAACATCTGATAAGATACAAGATTTAGTAAACTGAGAATAACAGAGATTTACATCAGACAAGACTTTATTTATACATTAGCTTATTGCAATAATAAAAAAACATTTGTTCTTAGGGGAGATGCTCTTGTAAAAAAAAAAGAAATAAATGATTAATAAAGCAACTGCTCAAGATGTTGAAAAAAATATGAAGTAGATGAGGTTTGACTTATATGATAAAATATGAAAATGAGGTTTGACTTATATGATAAAATATGAAAATGAGGTTTGACTTAAAGAGTAGGAGTAAAAGCTTCCAAACTTTTAGTCCGTAAGGAATAAAAGCTTCTGAGATACGCTTTATGCATACATATTATGAATATAAACATATATGTTTGCTATTTATTGAGATGCTGGCAAGAAATCTCTTTTCATATTTATATAAGCTTTAACATTTATATGATGTAGTATTTGCCGAAAGAGAAGAAGAGGATGATGATGATGATGATGATGATGATGATGATGATGATGACGGTAATGATGATCATGATGATGATGGTAATGATGATTATGATGATCATACAGCCCCGGTCACAAACCTGGCTATATTTTATCAAATCTGGCCTCTGCCCCGGGTCATTTTTTAGGTATAGATATATAATTTATACTAATTAAAGTATATCATTAATTGTAATTATGCCTTATGTATACAATTAAGGAGATTTTGTTTAAAAAGCTATCACTATTCAAAGTTTAAAAAATCTGGAAAATGGTTAAATTTTTATGTTTAAAGTTTGTATAATAATTATAAAAAACATGTATTGACAATATATGTTTCATTAATAACAATATATGTTTCGCGAGGAACTTGCGTTGGCTTGTTAATCACAAGTAAAGAACTAAACTAAGAATGAGTATTTTTAAAACTACACCTTTTTGCGTTGGCCAAAAAAAAAAAGGGTTGGCCAAATTTCATTTTAATTTGGCATTTTTTCAATTCGATTTATCATTGTTCACTTTATTTTAGCATTTTTTATTTTAATTTGGCACTTTTCACTTTAATTTGGCATTTTTTCATTTTGTTGTCAATTTTCATTTTAATTTGACACACCAAAATACACGTATTGTCGCAAAATTATATTAAAAAAATGTTAAAACAATAATCCAAAAAATTAAAAAAACTCAGCAGAAATCAAACTAACGCAAAAGTTATTTTTTAGACTCTGTTTTTTTTAATTCTATAAGTTCAATTATTATTTTATCATAGCTTTCACTTATAAATTCGACAGCTTTCTGTACCTCAAATAATTCTTTTTTTAACGTAAAGTTTTCATCTTTTAAGTTATTAAATTTAATTTCCATTTTTTCTATCCGATCATTAAAAATTTTTATCATAGTATTCTCGTGATTTTTAAGGATTTCTTTAAGTTTTGCTGGTGTAAAGTTTTTCGCCATTATTATAAGTTTTTTAATAAGCTCTTAAAACACGTCCGTTCGCGGTGAAAATTGCGGATTAGCAATCAACATAATTACTACAGTGCATCATCCTCCATCATCATACACAAGCTAGTCCGGCTAACTTTCGATGGGCGTACAGAACACGCCCATATCGTATAATTTTGTTTAACTTTTTTTTGTGTGATGATTTTAAAAGATTGTCATCCAAGAGCTATACACAATTTTTTAACTTGTAAGTGTGTTTGATTTTTAACTTGTAAGTGTGTTTGATTTTTAACTTGTAAGTGTGTTTGATTTAAAAAAAAGCTATTTTGTATCATTTTGTAATAATTGAAATAAAAAAAAAAAAACATATCCATTACATACATCATTGTATCATTGTATTCCTATAATATTTTTCAATATCGATGTTTAGAAAATTTTGTATCACTTATGCAAATAAGTTATGGTGTTAAGTGGCCGGAGCCCCGGCTAAAAATGAGACTTTATTCAAACCCGGCTCCGGGTAAACTATAAGATTTAACAGCGGTTGATAACCGGGACTAGAAAAAATTTATAATACTTTATATATTATAATTTTATGCTTACAGTTATTATTTATTAAATACTGGCATATATTTATATATTTTCAAACACTAATTTACTTCCAGCAAGATTGCAGGCAACCACTATTAAGTTATGAGTTACTTTAAAATAGAGCCACTTTAGATGATAGGTTTTCATAAAGATTGATATTGTAGATGAGAAACAATACAGGAGCAAAGATTTAAGGGTACCACAAGATACCTAGTGGTACACTTAAAGTCACTTGAAATAAAAAAGAGTGTAGGCCTTCAAGAATAACTTTATTACTGCAATTAGTAAGAAATAATTTAATAATCTCAAAACTTTTATATAAAGAAACTAATAACAGAGTGAAAACTAATCGTAGGATAGTTAGAGAGGTCAAAGTGTTATCTAGAGTTTTGAAAAATAGGAATCTCTTATTTAGCAGTTTTTAAAATTTAAATATTATTAAAGAATATATAAGATTAAATGTTAGATTTACTTTAGTTAATAACACTGTTAAAGGCTAACCAAAAGTCTCTAGAACCTAACATCTGATAAGATACAAGATTTAGTAAACTGAGAATAACAGAGATTTACATCAGACAAGACTTTATTTATACATTAGCTTATTGCAATAATAAAAAAACATTTGTTCTTAGGGGAGATGCTCTTGTAAAAAAAAAAGAAATAAATGATTAATAAAGCAACTGCTCAAGATGTTGAAAAAAATATGAAGTAGATGAGGTTTGACTTATATGATAAAATATGAAAATGAGGTTTGACTTATATGATAAAATATGAAAATGAGGTTTGACTTAAAGAGTAGGAGTAAAAGCTTCCAAACTTTTAGTCCGTAAGGAATAAAAGCTTCTGAGATACGCTTTATGCATACATATTATGAATATAAACATATATGTTTGCTATTTATTGAGATGCTGGCAAGAAATCTCTTTTCATATTTATATAAGCTTTAACATTTATATGATGTAGTATTTGCCGAAAGAGAAGAAGAGGATGATGATGATGATGATGATGATGATGATGATGATGATGATGATGATGACGGTAATGATGATCATGATGATGATGGTAATGATGATTATGATGATCATACAGCCCCGGTCACAAACCTGGCTATATTTTATCAAATCTGGCCTCTGCCCCGGGTCATTTTTTAGGTATAGATATATAATTTATACTAATTAAAGTATATCATTAATTGTAATTATGCCTTATGTATACAATTAAGGAGATTTTGTTTAAAAAGCTATCACTATTCAAAGTTTAAAAAATCTGGAAAATGGTTAAATTTTTATGTTTAAAGTTTGTATAATAATTATAAAAAACATGTATTGACAATATATGTTTCATTAATAACAATATATGTTTCGCGAGGAACTTGCGTTGGCTTGTTAATCACAAGTAAAGAACTAAACTAAGAATGAGTATTTTTAAAACTACACCTTTTTGCGTTGGCCAAAAAAAAAAAGGGTTGGCCAAATTTCATTTTAATTTGGCATTTTTTCAATTCGATTTATCATTGTTCACTTTATTTTAGCATTTTTTATTTTAATTTGGCACTTTTCACTTTAATTTGGCATTTTTTCATTTTGTTGTCAATTTTCATTTTAATTTGACACACCAAAATACACGTATTGTCGCAAAATTATATTAAAAAAATGTTAAAACAATAATCCAAAAAATTAAAAAAACTCAGCAGAAATCAAACTAACGCAAAAGTTAAAAAACGAGCTCCTGTTATGTTATTTAAACAGAGCCTGAAAAATCACTTTACTTATTTACTATATTTATATCGTAGTATATCTTGCAACTTATTTATATCTATTTTATTTTCATTTAAGATTTAAAAACTAACTTTAATGGAAAAAAAAAAAAAAAAAAAATTAAAAACGCTTATAAAAAAGCGATTATATTTGAGGTAAAAGGAAAAACGAAAAGTTTAAAATTTTGATTATATTTTTATCGAAAACGTGACGCCCCAACGACAATAAGCTAAGATTTTTTATTTGTCGTATTTTTTAAAGTAAATAAAGCTTTGTTAATTGTCTGCAATTTTTTATTTAAAAAAATAAATTTTTAATAAGAATGTGTTTTGCTTTCAAAATGACGTTAGTAAAACGGTAACTTGATCGATTTCGTTCTAATAAAAACAGTTTACGTATTTGTGGCTTCGCAAGAATAAAAAGAAATAGTTTTGTACACAATTTTTTTTGTTGAATTGCTCGAATATTCCTTGAAATAATATGAACACACCCGTTTTTGAGGGATCTAGTACAGAAAACTCAACAAATGAGGAAACAATTTGCCATATAACTTCTGAAAGCAGAGATGAAATCGAAACGCTTTTTAGAGTATACTGTACAAAGATAAACGAAAAAGACGAAGAGCAAAAAACTAGAGAGGATCAAAATTTATTAAAAGAACTAAAAATAAAACTTGAAGAATTTTCTACTTCCGAGAGTAAAAACAATGAATATTCTCGTCAATTAAAAGACTTGATACAACTCGTTACTAAATTAGAAATAGAAAATGACAAAAGATTCGTTGAAATAATCGCATTAAGGCAAACCTTAGCAAAAAAAGAGGAAAGTTTACAAACTTTAAGCCAGAGTTCTAAACAAAAGACCAGTTGCTTGGAAGCAATTAATAGTAATCTAACAGAAATTATAAAACAAAAAGACCAAAAAATCACAGAAACTAACGCTTTGAACGAGAAGCTAGACGTTTTAAACAAGAAACTGAAAACTGAAATAAAAGAAAAAATTACAGAAACTAACCTTTTAAACGAGAAGTTAAACGCATTAAACGAGAAGCTAAACACTCAAATAAACGAAAAAAATCTTGAAATCAGAAAAAATGAAAATGAAAACCTAATAAAAACAGAAGAAATAAATTTACAAAAAAAAGAAAATGTAGAAATAGAGAAAACGAAAATAACAACAGAAAAAAATTTAACGCAAAAAACAACATCAAATGACAGCTTTAAAAAAGAAACTCTTCATTCTTCAAAAAATGGAATTCTTTCAAAACAAAATATTAATAAAAAACCGGATCTTCCTAAAAAAGAATCAACAAAACCTGTAATAAGCACTAATCCAATTAGCAAACCAGCTGCAAGTGGTAAATCAGCAACAAGCGTTAACACAAGCACTAAACTAAATAATAAATCAGCAACAAGTACTAACACAACCAACCAATCATTAACGAATCTTAACACAAACAGTAAATCAACAGTTGTCAACTTAAACAAAAAATCAGTAACAGACGCAAATAATAAGTCAAGTAGAAAATCGATCCCTGAATTAACATTAAAACCAAAACCAAAAACAATTGACGAATTGACAGCAGAACTGGACTCAGAAAAAAAAAAGGTTGTTGAAGTTGAATCCAGAATGCGCCAGGAAAAAGATGAACATACAAGCGAAATAAATTTGCTTAAATCAAAAATTGAAAAACAAGATATAACTTTATTAGAATTAAATAATAACTTAAGTGAACTTATAACCGTACACGATAAACTTCAAGCGGAACATTCTAATAACTTGAAGAGTTTTGAAACAATGTTCGAAAGTGAAAAATTGTTGCACGCTCAGCTTCAAGAGACCATTTGTGAGCGGAATAGAGAAATAGAAAACTTAACAAAGAAGTATCAAAAAGAAATTGGAGAACTAACAGCCGAATTGAATTCAATTAAATCTGAACTCATTGAAAACAAATTAAAATTAGATATTATCGAATCAAAGTTAGTTTTTAAGGAAGAGCAAATACGCGTACTTGAAGAAGAAGTTGAAAAACTTCACAAGGAAGATAAAGAACCCGAAGATATCATGTGTAAAAGCGAAATTATTATTAACACCGAAGTGACAAACGTAGAAGTAAAAGACATCGAATGCAAAAAAAATTTAAAAACCGAAGTGACGGAAATAGAATGCAAAAAAAACGCTGATGAGTCTTTGGAAGAAAAGAGCAAAGAAAAAATTAACACTAGCGAGTCATTAGAAGTAGAAAGCCATTCATTAAATAACTTAGAGGAACATATAACGCCTGTCAAAGAAAATTCTATGGTAATTAAAAATTGCGAAATAGAAACAAACAATAATAGTTCGCAAAATGAAGATTTTCTTTGGAAAGAGATCATGTATGAAAATACTATATCAAAGCTTAAGAAAGAACTCGTTGATGTTAGTATGCGATTAAAACATCAGGAATCAAAGTTGGAAAACGCCCAAGTTCAGCTCGATTGTCAAATGCAAATAACGGAGTTTGTTAGACGTTCATTATTAGTAGAACTAGAAAAAAAAACGACTAATAAAGAAACAACGCAAATTCTTCTTTATCTCTCGGAAAAGCTTAACAGACTAATCCAAGATAAAAAAAACTCAACAACATCTGTTGCAGAAACATATATTTCAACACACGACTCAATCAATTTACGTTGTTATGAATATTCTTGTGACAATAAGCAGAGCAGTATTAACGAACAAGATAACTTAAAAGACAGTCAATACTATAAAAAAAAACATATAGAAAATTTGCAACGTAAAGTAAACTTTAAAATAAGAAGCTGGATGCAAAATAAACTTAGCCAAAGTTTACACTCGGAAAGTTTTTGCCATGCAGGCGAGAGCGCGCTTTCACCTCCATTATCTAATCAAATAAGACAGGAGGACTCTAGATTTTCAAAAGTTTTAGAAACCCGAGATAGTTTCCAAGATTCTGGATATATGGAAAACAACGAAACTGTAGAAAACCTTATTCAGCAAGTTCAGAACCAAACATTACTGTTAAAAAATGAAGGGGTTTCAATACCGAACCAATGGTTCCAAGAAGTAAGAAAATGGGAGGAAAAAACGTTGGGAGAAGTTAATCGCCTAAAATTTTCAGAGCAGGAAGAACAGAATATAAAAAGCGAAAAAAACTTTAAGTCCATAGTTTATAGACCTAGTAACGCAGATGTATCGTCTATTATCAATAAGGTAAACCAAGAGTTCGCTCGCTCACAAAGAATGTGGTCATCCGATTAAAAATATACATTGTATAAAAATTTTTTATCACAACAATAAATAAGTTGTATATATTTAGGTGTTTCTAATCAGATAATAAGTTCCTTTAGGTGTTTCTAAGCAGATAGTACGTTACTTTAAGTATTCTTAAGCAGATAATAAGTTCCTTTAGGTATTCCTTAGCAGATAGTACGTTTCTTTGAGTATTCTTAAGCATATAATAAGTTTCTTTAGGTGTTTCTAAGCAGATAATAAGTTCTAATCGTATAATGTCACTTTCTACATATTTAAAACAGTTGAACAAATATCAACAACTTCACAGATTATGCCCAATACTCGAGGAATCCAACCATTTTAAACTTCCATATTATCGATTGTCAAAGAAACACTTTCTACAAGACATTTTGCATTTGGGCGTTCTTTATAATTTTCATTCGTACAGCAAACAAAAATTGCTAAAAAATATAAAAGGAATTTTTAACATTAAAATATAAAGTAAAATCTTAAAGTCCTGAGATCATACTTTGAATATATGATCGTTTGTCAGATTTTTTATTAAGTTTTGTGTATATCTCGTCAAGTCGTGTGTATAATTTTAAGCGTACGAGCCAGGCAATGAAATACAACTTAATAATAAACTTCAAATTTACAATGACTTGTTTTTACTTGATTATTTGTAAAAAAATTTTTTTAGTATATGAAAGATTCAATAAAGTATATATATAAGTATACCTATAACAGATTCATATGATTTATCATAAACATGATCTGGCAAGGGTGGTCTTGTTCCCAGAGCATCGTAATACGCTTGATAAGTCAATGAAGAATTAGAAGTATCAGAAAAACTTCCATCCAAATCAGCTGAATTTTAAAGATTATTTTATACAACATAAAACAAAATACAAAGAAACTAAAATATGAAAAAAGTTACCTAACTCAGTCATAAGGGCCACATGAGGTACGTCAAGAGCAAGCATTTCCCATATTACTAATCCATATGCAAATATATCTGCTTTGTCTGTAATAATGGAGTCTTCAATAACTTCACGACTTATCCATGGTTCCGAACCTACATATGAAGCATTCTCGTTTGTCGGACCACTTAAATCATCTTTAAGAAAAATCGAAACACCAAAATCACAAAGCTTAACTTGACTAAAATTGTCTTTAACAAGCACGTTTCCACTTTTTAAGTCTCCATGGAGCAGTTTTTTAATATTATGGAGGTAATCTAAAGCCTTCGCAAGTGAATACGAAACTTTTAATATTTGCGTTGATGTAAACATATCATCGTCTTGCTGTTTGTTCATTATTATGTTATCTAATCCTTTCCCACAATCTTCCATTGACAGATACATGTCACCTTAAAATAAGAAAAAGTAACGGTTTAATTAATATATATATTTATATGTTATTAAAACACAAATCAATTTTTGCAAGATTTGATGCTCACAGATAAACAAACAGAGACGACGAGTTAATAAAAGCATTGGTAAAAAAGTTTTTTTTTATTAGAATTTTTACACATTAAGAGCTAAAAAGAATATATATATATATATATATATATATATATATATATATAATATATATATATATATATATATATATAATTTTTGAAATATACAAAAGTTTGAAAAACCTTGACTAGTCTGACAAAAGTTTTTAAAAGCAACAATATTTGGATGGTTTAGTGAGCGTAAAATTTCTGCTTCATTTGTAAGTCTTTCTTTAATAGATTTTCGTGCATGGCCATGTTTAGCTTTTTTCAAAGCCCAAGGGGAAGCAATATCACCTGATGGATCAATACGCTTGTATCTAAACAAATTTTTGTATTTAATTTTTGTAAATAAATAAAAAAAAAACAAGACCACGTAAAGTTTTCCCACAAACTCTGAAAATAATTTTTGTAAGAGTAGATGTAGAAATGATTTAACAATTCAAAGTAATTAAACTAGTTGATTAAAATAAAATAGGAAGCAAAACCTGTACAGGATAAGAAAGATAGTCTTGCCAAGTTTTTATTGAATAAAAGCAATATAGAAGTTAGTTGTGTAAAGATTTTATGAATAGCATGGAATGAAGTAACGATTTCTAGTTTTTACTTTTCGAATATTATCCAAGAAAAAATAATTCTGATTGTTAGAACCAAATTTTATGATCCCTTGATTATTGATTTAAAACTAATATTTCAAACTTTATGTATTGGTAAGCTTGATTGAGATGATAAGTTAACAATTGAAATTCAAGAAATATGGTTGCTAACAAAACTGAAAGGTAATGTTTGACAATTCTTATTCAGCTGTTTTTTATGTTCAAATAAAAACCATTTTGAATTTTAAAATGACAATTATATGGCAGATTATATAAAATTTCTCATAAATTTTTCATAAATTCATAAAAATAAACACTCTTACTGACTGTATTCACACCAGCAGTAATATCTTTACATTCTTAAAATTTTTTAAATATCTGCTCTTAATCCCTAAATGTGTTTTATATATTGAAATAACACTGTTCCATAGATTATCCAGGTCTTATTTTGAAAATCCGGAAAATTTCAAGGTAAAATATCCGAAATATATTTTCCCTTATTTTCCTCTTAATTTTTCTTAAAGCTGAGGTTTCTAAATTTTTTTCCAAACCTTTTATAGTTTTTGTACAAGTGATGAGTGAAAAAGTGTATGTGTGGAAAACGTTTAGGATATCCAGAAAAACTAAAAGTTGATAAAAATATCTGGAAAAAGATAATTCCTGCACTATTCTTATAATAAAATTTATTTTTAAGGGTCAAAATGTCAGACAAGTTCAAATATTATCAAAAAAAAAAAAAGTTCTTTAAAAGTAAGTTATGTTGGGTCTCAAAAGTAAGTAAAATTAAGTAAGTAAATAAAAATAAATAAAACTTATAAAAAATAATTAAGATTATATAAAATTTTTAAAAACAATCATATTTTAAAAACAAATTTCAAAAACAATCATATTTTATATAAACTTTTTATAATATATTTCATAGATTTCATGACAAGAAATTTTAAAAAACCATAAACTTTTTATTTTATTTTATATTAAAAAGCCATAGTTTTTATGCTATAAAATATAGTACAATTATTACAATTAAAATTTAATAAACATTTATATATAAAACATCAAATTATTATTGTTGACATTTTGTCATAACTTCACTTCTTTTAAGGTCCTACATTACTATTGAGAGAATTTTTTGTTGCTAATTTTAGACCAGATCGATCAACATTGGCATTAAACAAAAGGTTTATGACCATGCTCTTAAAGATTTTATAGCTTAAAAATAATTTTTAAATTAAATTTTGATGAGGCATATTCTTGAATTACTAATAGTAATAAAATTCAAAACGTCACAGTGTGACATCATGGCCTGATGCTTTTGGGTATTTATATACCAGGTTAATGGGTTACTTTTAATAAATTTAAACTCAGTATAAATATATTATAGAAATAATAAGTCAATTTTCATTCTCATTAAAAAATAATTCATATATAGTTGTCTTAGAACACATCCATGTTATATCATTGTAAAATTTATATACGTTTCAAAGTATTTTGGTGATTTTCACTTAAATGGAGTCACATTTTATTTGTTCCATTATTTGATGTGCAGTAAATACACCTGGTTGATGTGCAGTAAATACACCTGGTTGATGTGCAGTAAATAATCTTATTTTTAAATGTGATTTAAAAGTAACAAATGTAAATGCATCAGTTATTGGTACTTTAGATTTTGCACTTTAACATTGTTAGATATTATTTATGAACAAATACAACAATAGATTTCTTTGAATGGCTTAAATCATCTAAAACAAGACAACTGATGAACTTGGTAGCAAAATGCAGCAGTAAACACAGTAACTTGCTTCTTTTACCAATTTGTTGACTGCACTTCATCTTGCCACATAGTTGAAAAATTTACAGCAAAATCCACTTGAAGAACGGATCACTCTAAAATTGGGTATTATGACCATATAACTTGGACTGTTTCTATTCAAAGGAACAAAGGTATAGATTTTGAAAAAGTAAAGATCATCAACTCTTCCTTTTTTATCAACTTTATTAATCTACTCTTTTTCATTATCTTCCAGAACTTTATACAATTGGTACCAAGTACTGCACTTATTTTTGTCAACTTTATTTAAAACATAAAAATCATGAAACTTTGCATCATCTTTGCAGGTTGTACATGTTTAAATGAAAAATTTCATTTGCACTATCAGAAACATTTCTAAGAGAAAAATTCATATGAATACAATTGAAAACTTTAATGTTTCAAGGATTATGTTAAAGTGTTATTTACAAAAGCAAGCATTTCTCGGTATTAAACCAGACAAAAGTACATGTGGTTGATGTACACATACAAACTTTAATTTTCCAACTGATTCTTCAGGATAATCTTCTTTAAAAAGAGATTTCCTAGATAATTCATAGACAAATAATGCTTTTTAAAAATGTCTTACTTGTTTTTCGATTTCTCCACAATGGCTTCTTATTTTTCTGGAGCTTGATGGGACATATCACCACATTAGTAAAAATCATAAATTGTGCAGTTAAGGTATCTAATGTTGTTACTGCCTGTTTTTTTTTCTCTACAATATTAGCTTTTCTTCTGGGTGATGGTAGGGTTGACTCTGTTTTTTATATTCAGCATAAGTAAGTGGCATATTAAACCTAAAAAGAATTGAAATAAAGGGATTTTTATATATTTTTTTAGTTCTAATAAGTTTTTATGATAGGAGTAGACTAAAATTATAAACTTTCTGAATGAGAAAAGTTTCAGCTTTCTACTGATATATAGTATGATGCATGATTTTAATGATAAGTTTCACAAAGTTACAGCTTTCTACTGATATATAGTATGATGCATGATTTTAATGATAAGTTTCACAAAGTTACAGCTTTCTACTGATATATAGTATGATGCATATTGGTTTGATTTAATTATTTAATTTTTTGTGAGAAGAACGTGTAATTACTGATATCTTATAACTCTTAAGAACAATCCCAAATATTCAAGAGAATTACGAAAACATTTTTTTCTCCATTTTCCTAATTTGGTGGTTGCTTGCAGCCTTGTTCGAAGTGTATTTGTTTAAAAAATAAAACAAAAGTAAAAAAAAAAAATTATAATAAATAAAAAAACATGTTAAAAATAAAAAGAACCCAGCTTCTTTTAAAAAAAAAATACTAACCTATAAACAGTTACAAAAGTGCCACAACCAAGTTTTTTCATAAAAGGAGAAGGTGGAATTACAAGAGGAGTATTCCCAAAAGTTTTCGACGAAGTACTTTTTAAAGCTGAAATGGTTTTATTAGCTACAGGTGTCATAAACTGAGATTGAATTTCAGACATTTTAAACTAAAAAAAACATTAACTTTGCATTTGCTTCAAATAATTTACTAAAATTGTAGAACATTGCTTCAAAGAACTGTTCAAAAGTTGAACACTGCTTTAAAGAACTTGTGAACTGAATGCACTTTGCCTTTCCATAGGCTAGCTAAAAATGTGTTAAAAATCTAGTCTTACATATTATCTACTATTAACAAGAAAAGACAAAATAACATTTAAAGTTAAATTATTTACATATGTAAATTAAGCAGAAGAAAAAACTAACCAGTTTTAACAAGAAATCACACACCATCAGTCTTAACAGTGCTACCTCATAGAATGTTATTTAACAAACAGTGCTACCTTGTAGAATTTTAATGTTATTCGTCATTAAAGTAATGTTATTCATCATTAAAGTAATGTTATTTATCATTAAAGTAATGTTATTCATCATTAAAGTAACATTATTTGTCATTAATGTAATGTTATTTTTCGCTAAAGAAATGTTATTTGTCATTAATGTAAAGTAATGTTATTCATCATTAAAGTAATGTTATTCATCATTAATGTAATGTTATTTGTAATTAAAGTAATGTTATTTGTCATTAAAGTAATGTTATTCATCATTAAAGTAATGTTATTTGTAATTAAAGTAATGTTATTTGTCATTAAAATAATGTTATTCATCATCAAAGTAATGTTATTTGTAATTAAAGTAATGTTATTTGTCATTAAAATAATGTTATTCATCATTAAAGTAATGTTATTTGTCATTAATGTAATGTTATTTATCATTAAAATAATGTTATTTGTCATTAATGTAATTTTATTTATCATTAAAATAATGTTATTTGTCATTAATGTAATGTTATTTGTCATTAAAGTAATGTTATTCAACATTAATGTAATGTTATTTGTCATTAAAGTAATGTTATTCAACATTAATGTAATGTTATTTGTCATTAAAGTAATGTCATTTGTCATTAAGTAATATTATTTGTCATTAAGTAATATTATTTGTCATTAATGTAATGTTATTCATCATTAATGTAATGTTATTTGTCATTAATGAAATGTTATTTGTCATTAAAGTAATGTCATTTTTCGTAAAAGAAATGTTATTTGTCATTAATGTAAAGTAATGTCATTCATCTTTAAAGTAATGTTATTCATCATTAATGTAATGTTATTTGTCATTAAGTAATGTTATTCAACATTAATGTAATGTTATTCGTCATTAAAGTAATGTCATTTGTCATTAAGTAATGTTATTTGTCATTAATGTAATGTTATTCATCATTAATGTAATGTAATTTGTCATTAATGTAATTTTATTTGTCATTAAAGTAATGTTATTTGTCATTAATGTAATGTTATTTGTCGTTAAAGAAATGTTATTCATCATTAAAGAAATGTTATTCGTTATTAATGTAATGTTATTGTAATTCCCTGTCCAAAATAGGTTGTTACAACAAAATTATATTTTTTATAATTTTCACTAAGTTCCATAAGTTTGATAAATGGAAATTCAAAAAATTGAAAAACATTTTAAAATTGTGCAATTATTTGTAAAAAAATTTTTAAACTAAATAAAGGTTCAAAAAACTTTATAACATTAAAATTAAAGACAGAATAGTATTAACAAATAAAAAAATTATTTTTAACATGAATTACAAATAATAAAAACAATTAAGTCAAAATTAAAAAAAAATAAAAATAGAAATGATAAAAAATTAGTATGTAATAAGTAATAAGTAAATAATTAACTGTTTTTATGACATGTTTTTTTTTTTCTTGATGCTTAGCTTTATTTACTGTTGCTATTTTTAACATTTTTTGTAGGTCTTGAAACAATGGCAAATTTAAACTATAATTAATTAAAAACAGTAACTATTTAATAAAATATTATAAGCAATGTTTTCGAAATAATATATAAACTAAATGCGTAAACATTGAAGTTCTAGCTTGTAAGATTTAAATTTATGCTAATCTATCTTAATTATCAAATGTTTTCAGGTTTTAACTGGCATTATAGCTGTCAAAACAGTCACTTATAAGTGAAAATAAATTTGCATCAAAAAAATTTTTTTTTTACAATAATATAACAAACAATTCATTCTACTTTTTCACTCATGTTTCTAAAGCTATTTTAAATTTTATAATTCTAAGAACTAAAATAGTTCTAATAATAAATATATTTACATACATAATACATAAACTATTATTTACTAAAATACACATAGTTCTAAATAGAATAATAATTGTTTAAACTCTGTTTATACATCAGTATTAACATAAAGTTATTTTAACAAAAAATATATTAGACTCCAGTCTACTTTTAAACTCTTATCGACTCTATTGATCTTGATCAGTCAATTTATTAAAAAATTAAATAAGACATTAAGAAGAAAGTCATAATAAAAAAGACTTTGGTCATAAAAGTCATAAAATTTCCTTAAAACAGTCAATCTTGAACCTTTAGGTGACAATTTACAGCTCACAATAGTTGGTGAACTTTTAGGTGACAATTTGCAGCTTACAATAGTTGGTGAACTTTTAGGTGACAATTTGCAGCTCACAATAGTTGATGAACTTTTAGGTGACAATTTGCAGCTTACAATAGTTGGTGAACTTTTAGGTGACAATTTGCAGCTTACAATAGTTGATGAACTTAAACCCAAACAAAACTCATTTGTTTGCATTATTGTTGATATTCTTAAATGACACCACTTGGTACTGAGTCCTTTACTTTACATCTTTTCAGAAAATTTTTCACTACTAACCTCTCATAAAAATTATAATCCATGGAAACCATTGCAAAGTTTGCTAAGGTTACATTTGTTGTGCTTGTCATTTTCTTTCTAGATCTACTCTCTAAATCTAAAAACCTCCTATACGCCATTGAATTAAATATTGTTGTTATGTAATATTTGAGCTTGTTTTTTTAAAGAAGATCTTTTACTTTATGATAGCCAAAGGGGTACATTTACATTGTATATGTGCTATAGTAAAATTGTTTAGAAAAAAAAAAAAAAATGTAAACTTTTTTAACTTGCACTTGCCCAGATTTAAAAATCAATACGCTTGACTATTTAAATTATATAAAAAAATTAGTTACTAATACGCTTGACTATTTAAATTATATATAAAAAAAAAATTACTAATACGCTTGACTATTTAAATTATATATAAAAAAAAATTACTAATACGCTTGACTATTTAAATTATATAAAAAAAAAAAATTACTAATACGCTTGACTATTTAAATTATATAAAAAAATAAATTACTAATACGCTTGACTATTTAAATTATATATAAAAAAAAATTACTAATACGCTTGACTATTTAAATTATATAAAAAAATAAATTACTAATACGCTTGACTATTTAAATTATATAAAAAAATAAATTACTAATACGCTTGACTATTTAAATTATATAAAAAAAAAATTACAAATACATTTTCTTGTAAGGTCTAAGATAAAAGACATTTTTTTGAGGGAGAAAAAACAAAGAGGAATAGAAAATCAGCAATTTTTTATATATGCATTTCTTTGCTGTATATTTATCAAAATAAATAATGGTTCTTAAAACTACAAAAAAAGTTTTTATTTATCGCCTAAATTTTTTTTATATTGTAACTATCATTTCACTATCACCTATGTCATTTTCTCATGTTTCGACAAATTAAAAAAAATTTAATAAGTAATGAATTTAGTAAATAAATATGAAAATAATAAATAATTAATAACATTTTGTTAAATTTTGTGACATATTTTAACTAAGACCCTCATAATTTTAAAACTTTTTTATAACTGTTTTGTGACATATTTTAACTAAGACCCTCATAATTTTAAAACTTATTTATAACTGTTATGATAACTATGTTGAAAGAACTGTCCACTAAGATCAAATACAGATTTGGGCAGAAATAAAAAAAATAAAAACTATGTTCTGATAGATTCAAGATATAGGCAATATGTCATGTAAAAAAGATAGTATAAATTATACATTTCAGCCATTAAGTTAACCCCCCCCCCAATGACTTCGGTGATTGTGAAATGATTATGACAATATAACAGACAATATAGCTTAGTAAGATCAATAAAAAAATTGTTAAGCTGAAAAACATTAAATCCTAAATTAATGTTTTATGTTTAATTTTATGTTTTTGTTTAAATTTATGTTTTATCATTAAGTTTAAAATCAAACAAAACATAACAATGTAACATTATACAGAACAACTTGTGTTTAAATTTGTAAACAAAAAATGGCCTCTTAGTGTATTTATAGGTTTTATAAATAATTGATGAAAAAATGATAAGTGTAATACCTTATATCTATGAGAATGAAAAGAGCTATGAGTGTACCCTATATTTATGACAATAGTAAAAGTAGTTCATTTTAGAACAAAGAAAAAATAAATGTTTAATAAAATTCAAATAAAAATTTTTAAAAATCATGACCCAAAAACACAATAAAATATCATGACTCAAGTACTAAAAAAATTACAAGTAAAAAATATAATCTAATTCTAAATTATCTCAAGATAATCTTAAATACCATTTAAGTAAAATTAGGAAAAGGACAAGAAAATCAAAATAAAAGTATATGGTTATTACTTCTTTAAAAACTCATAAATAACAATACCATAAACTGTTTATTAGAAAATTTATTTCAAGAAATATGAACTTTCTAACTTTTTCTTCCATTCTTTTAACACGTTTCCATTCATTCAACACCTTAAGTCCAGTTGAATTGTTCAACAAAAGTATATCTATTATCAGACCAGGGGAGGAGATCAGGCCGGAGGATTGTATGGTTTAACAAGGAAGTTTGAAAAATCTTTAATTTGAACATATCCACGAACTTCTCTTGGTAATAAGGGTAGTCTAATTACATGAAAATCTTCATATAAATCTTTAATCTAAAAACAGAAAAAATTTATCAACCCATTTACTCTGTACAATAATACTGAACTAATTGAATGATTCTTTAAATATACGAATTTATAACAGACAATAGATCTGTTTCAAAATAAATTACAACCACATCTTTTTGTGATTCATTTTGTAAATGTCTCTTCTTTTTTTTTTTTTTTTTTTCATAACTTGAAATTTTTATTTTAGAATTATATTGAATAAATGTTTTCTAATTCTAAATTGAAAGAAAAAAAAGCACACAAATAGAATTTTATAAAAAAAAACTAAAGTTTTGATTGAGCACTTAAGATTTGATGAATAAAAAACAATTTTTTTAAAAAATAAATCAACTTCCAAATTCAAGTTTAAGCCACAGTTGGATTATGCATAGATCTTATTTTAAAAATCTGGAAAATTGTTTGGGTAAAAAATGCTGAAAAAATCTGGAATATTTTTTCCCTTATTTTCCTCCTAATTTTGCTTTTAGCTAATTTGTTTCAAATTTTTTTTTCCAATTTTTTTTTAATTTTTGTATGAGTGGTGAGTGAAAAGGTTTAAAAAACAAACATATTACAAAAATATATTCCTAAACTTGTATGTATAGAAAACGTTTTGGATATCCCGAAAAACTAAAAGTTTTAAAATCCAGAAAAAGATAATCCCTGATTATGGAGTAAACAAAATATTATATAAAAAAGTAGTTTTAACAAGCAAACATATAACAGAAATAAACAGTCTATATCTGTTATTTTTCTAAAATACCTGTTCAAAATATTTATTTTGGATATTTGACCTAGCAACACAAAGATCACACCTTGTACCTAAAAATTATTCACAATATATAATAGAGAATGAAAAGATAACTCATTTTTAATAACAAATTAACAAAATGGCATTAAATAAAATATTAGTATGTGCAATATGTTATGCCATATCATATTAGCATGTCTAACATATTACGCTATCATGTCATACAAACATGATATGATTTAAGAACTAAGTGGATATACTACTGGAAAAAACTACAGGATCAAGTTACTGCAATGCATTTATAGACAACATAACAATAAGTAGTATACATTGTGCGAAAGTAATACAGTAACATTGGAATAAGCAGTAACATGATACTTTTTTTTTATGTTAATTAACCTCCCCAAGGCTGAGAAGGCCACTACAGTCGAGGAAGCTACTATAATTGTGATTGCAATCTTCTCTTAACTAGAAGTGTTTGATTTTGCTTTTTTAAAAAAATTAAAATTTCCAACATTCTGGCAAGTGGAAATGGATCAAATTTAATCTATTTTCAATTTCCGAAAAGTAAAAAGTACTTAAAAATTGATCACATTCTTTATATTTTTACATGACATTAAATTTATAGTATTACTATTAATTAAATTTGACTTTACTTCCCTACACTTTCCGATCACATCCCATTGGAAAGTTAAAAAAATATATGTATTCTTTTTTTTTTTAATTTTCTTTATTTAATAAGATTTCTTTTTAACAAATAGTTGATTATATCATAGTTGATAGAACTTATTCCTAATCGAGAAATAAAATATTTAGACAAAATGGTCTCATTGTTTAAAAATATTGTAATCATGTGATAAAAGTAATTGCAAAAAAATTTTTCTGATTGAAGCATAGTCAATAGAAGTTATCCGTTAGATGTTCTTAGATAACTTTTATTGACTGTTGTTTAACTAAGATTTCACTATTTTATACTATTACTCGAAGAAATTATAAAAAGTGAGATCGCAGTTTGTTTGGTGTCTCAAGTATATTTCTTTTGAATTTGATTTAAAAAGAGAAAATAGAAAAAAAAAAAAAAAAAAAAAAAAAAGCGTGAATTTTTAAAATACCAGCATTTACCATAATTAAATTCTATTTAATCATACAACTAAAAAAAAATTTATCAATGGTACTAAATATATTAATTTTTTTTAATTAACAAGCCATTGTTAGCTTTAAGTGCGCAAATAATTTAGTTATAAGTAGATATCATTGCGTAATATCTTTGTCCTATCTTTGCGTAACGGCTTTGTGTAATCAAGACAGCTTATTTAACAAATAGTAGCTCATAATTTTACATTAAAACTTTTTTTTCTTTGAAAACTGGGACAGGTCTTAATAAGCTTCGGGTGATCGGAAATTGATAAAATAGATAAGAACTAAATAAATTTATAGAATTAAAATAAGAATTAAATATATAATTATAGAACTTAATAAGAATTAAATAAATTGGAAATAGACGGAATTCAATCTATTTCCATTTCCCAGAAAGTTGAAAACTCATTAAAACTTAACTTTTTTTTGTCACAAATTGTATAATTGAAACAATTTATTTTTCATTATAAAAACATGGATTCATTAAAAAAATTTTTTTCATTTAAAAAATTTCTACTTTCTTGGAAGGAAAGTGAAATCAATCACTCCTACTCTTAACTCTAAAACTATGAACCTTGACGGCCGCTGCACGGAGAAACAAGTTTTACTTACATTAATACTATCTTATTTTAAAATATTGATCATTAAAAATAATTAATCAATAAAAATGATTAATATTATTAAAAAATGACTTTGTAAATAATTGTAATTGCATAATGCAAGTATTAGCAATTAATATTTATAATTATACTTTGGTTGTAAACATAATCACATGTGTTTAAAGCATTTTCATTATAGAGGCTTTTGCTTGAATATTTCAAGTTTTTATTAAATAACAAATTAAGATGAAAAATATATAATTTTTTGTTCAATTTTTTAAATTTGCAAAAATGTTGTAAACAACATTACAACACTAATTTTTACAACATTACAATTATTTACAACTTTTTTTAATGATATTAATCATTTTTATTGATTAATCATTATTATTTTAAAATAAGATTTTAAATTTTGTTTAAATTTGCATTTGTGTTAACATAAGTACCATGTTACTGCTTATTCAATTGTTACTGTATCATTTTTGCACAATGTATACTGCTTATTCAAATGTTACTGTGTTGGTTTTCACGCAATACCTACTGCTTATTTAAATGTTACCGTTTTGCTTTCACTGAAATTTCAGTAATTTGTTACCGTTTTGCTTTCACTGAAATTTCAGTAATTTGTTTCTGATATATATCCCAGTTTTTTTATTTATAAATGCATTGCAGTAACTTGATCCAGCAGTTTTTTTTCCAGTAGTATATTCAAATTTACAGTAAAGTTTTCCAACTTCCACTAAAAATAAAACAAATGTAACATATGTATAATAAAGTAAAAAAGTGTTACCAGATGATGTTCTTGGGAAAACAAGTTGATTGACAATTATTGTAGATATATCAATATTCATTCGAGTTAGTTCTTGAACAAGTCTTTCTGTTTCATAAAGTGATAGAAACTCTGAAATGCACACACAAACAAATGTTGTATGGTCCTGAAAGAAAAGTTGCATTTTCCTGAAAATTTTTAATGTATAAATTATGTTTTTATTATCAAACATTTTATCATTAGTATAAAACCACCTGTATAAAATATGTCTATATATAGTTATATACTAAACTATTTTATAAAATAGTAGATATATGTCTCAACTATTGCTTTTTAATGTATTTTTAATATGGAATCTAAAAGATAAAAATTAAAATTAGTAAAAAAGTTTTTTTACTAATTTTTTCATAAACACTTTTCTGCTTTTTCACCATATTTTTAAATCTTTTAACAACTTTTACTTGAAGTTTTTTTTAACAGTTGAAAAAAACTAACGAAAATTTTTATTGTGATAAAATAATTTTTTAAAACATTGTGAAAATAATTTGTTTATTTTAATTTAATATTATTTATTAATTTTTATAAGCTTCAATTTTAATTAAGTTATTCTAATTACTTTTTAAATCTCAATGTTTTTGGTAATTTTTAAATCTTAATGTTTTTCTGTCCCTTGCAATTTTTTCTTTATTTAATTATATATTTAATAAACTATTGCTTTTTAATGTATCCTTGGAAACTCATACATTACAATATCTTTTACAATATACATTCCAAGTAGGAAATACATCCAAATAAAACTAAATGATGACTCATCTATTTTATTTACAAGTTTATGACTTTCTTTAAAAATCAGCAACTCTTAGAATTTGTTAACCTAATGCAACACCTAAAATATTTGTGAGGTAATTTAATTGTTCTATAAATAATTTTCTTATTCTAGCTTCTAAGGTACATTAAGTTGCTAGTGATAATGCAGCAAATATAACTTGTAAAAACATAGTAATTTATTTTAAACATTCTCCCCTTTCTTTTGAAGCTTGTAAAAAATATGAAAATCAATATCAAGTGTCATAAAATAGATTTAAGCATTCAAAAGACATCACAACAAGATGGAAAAGTATTTTATGTTTAAAAGAATTTTTAAAGAGAAGCATAGATTGATACTGATAACTAAGTATAAAACCAAATAAATATGAAAACACTGTTAACTTATTATTAATTATTTAAGTAAAAATTACTGAGATTTTAAAAAATGATTAATGATATTATAAATTTATTAGGTGTAAAGCAAATACATCTTCTATAATTCTAAATGTACAAGCAATAAAAAACATACTTATCCAAGCTGTAAAATTTCCTTAGTTTTAATGTAAAAAATCAGCAAACAAATTTGAAAAACATCTCAACCACAAAAACCTTGTTAAATCAAAAATCTTAGCCACATTTTTAGATACAAAGTTAAATTTTTTTTGAATAAGTTGATAGTTATCTTGAAGTTTCGTTGTTTATTCAAAAGGTCTTTTTTATTTCTAAACTGATTTTGAGGTGTTTTTTTTGTGTGTGCATGTTTTGCATGTTCACTTTTGCACTTGCATGTTCACTATTTAAATTATTAAACATTTACCAGAGTTTGGTTTTATCTTTAAAATCTTTAAGTTATTGTTTACTCTATTTATTTGATATTTCAAAGTGTCTTAAACTGTTTTTAGATTATAAGAAACTATTATTCTATATTTTTTATAAATACATACAGGGTGCTGTTTTTATTAAATACATACAGGGTGCTGTTTTTATTAAATACATATAGGGTGCTGTTTTTTATAAATACATATAGGGTGCTGTTTTTTATAAATACATACAGGGTGCTGTTTTTATTAAATACATATAGGGTGCTGTTTTTTATAAATACATATAGGGTGCTGTTTTTTATAAATACATACAGGGTGCTGTTTTTATTAAATACATATAGGGTGCTGTTTTTTATAAATACATACAGGGTGCTGTTTTTATTAAATACATATAGGGTGCTGTTTTTTATAAATACATATAGGGTGCTGTTTTTTATAAATACATACAGGGTGCTGTTTTTATTAAATACATACAGGGTGCTGTTTTTATTAAATACATATAGGGTGCTGTTTTTTATAAATACATATAGGGTGCTGTTTTTTATAAATACATACAGGGTGCTGTTTTTATTAAATACATATAGGGTGCTGTTTTTATAAATACATATAGGGTGCTGTTTTTTATAAATACATACAGGGTGCTGTTTTTATTAAATACATATAGGGTGCTGTTTTTTATAAATACATACAGGGTGCTGTTTTTTATAAATACATATAGGGTGCTGTTTTTTATAAATACATATAGGGTGCTGTTTTTTATAAATACATATAGGGTGCTGTTTTTTATAAATACATACAGGGTGCTGTTTTTTATAAATACATACAGGGTGCTGTTTTTATTAAATACATACAGGGTGCTGTTTTTATTAAATACATACAGGGTGCTGTTTTTTATAAATACATACAGGGTGCTGTTTTTAGAATTGAAATAAAAACATTAAAATTTTATTTTTTGAATATTTTCATTTTATAGTTTAAAAATGATCTTTAATTATTATCTTGAAAAACAGGTATGAGTCTGTATTTGATTATTACTAAGACCAGGTAATCAAGTATTTAATTACCTCGTCTGATTTAGTAATGGCTTAACAACTAACAGTTCTACACCTTAATACAGATACCCTTTTATTTTTGAGAAAAATGTTTACGTTTTAGTTTTAAGCTTTTATATTTTTGAACAATTTAATAATTGTTTAATCTATAGGTATTGGCCTTCTTCTATCCATCAGCATCAGTATCAACATAAGCCAATGCGCAGTCAGTACGTTGAAAAGATTAACTTTTATGTACACTTTAAAAACTTGATTTTTGAAGACACTTTAAAAACTTTAAAACCTGCAGCTTTAACTTATTTTTAACTTTTCAGAAATTCAATATGCTACTATTTTAATAAGTATATTACAACATTTTAAAAACTAATCTAAACATTACATTAACAACAAAATTTACCAAAAAAAATGCATGGGCATTTTACCCTGCAATTGATCTTAAACAAAAGTTGCTTTTATATGCACATGGTATTAACACACAATTTTTTTTGTCCATAATAACATAATAATTTTCTCCATAATACCGTAATAATTGAAAAGAGTTTGACAGTTGACAATTAAAAAATAAAATAACTTACAGGATTTTGAAACTGATTGCAAACTTCTTTAATCACTGGTAAAGTATCTTCAAGTTTATTTGTAAGCATATCAATACTTGAATCTCCCATCCCTAGTAATCCAGTCATCTAAAGTAGTTACAAGAATAAGTAACTATCATTATAAAAAATTAGAGAAAATAAAAAAAATAATAAGAAATAAGTAAGAAATTAGAAAAACAAGAAAAAATAAGAAATTGAAAAACTTAAGTTTTATAGTATCAAAAGTTAAGTTTTATTGATATCAATGATGTTACCTCAAAAATCAAAAAAAAAAAAAAAAAAAAATGTTGTGAAAGGTTTTAAGATAACTGACTAATCAAATGTTGTCTTTAAACTTTAAATTCCTAATTTTTCAAGACCAAGATCTCGAGATATTACTGATAGCCACATTATAAAAAACAAGAGTACATTTTTCAGAGTGTAGTTACAATGTTAGTCATAAGTACTTAACTAATTATGCATCTTCAGTTTTTTGTTTTAAGTTTAATGTTTTATAGTACACTGTGATTTCTGTAATGTTATTGTCTTTTGTATATATGATATTACATAAGAGTTTAATCAACCTTTTGCAACTGGATGCCCTTCTTAGTACTAACCTGTTTAGCAGGACTGAGTATTCTTATTGTAATACTACTAGTAGAAAAATTACTAAAGTTTACAAGTTTTTCCTACACTTACCCACAACTTAATTGTGGGTTTTAAATCAGATTTTTCTGATATTCAGTTTCAAGCAAATTTTACTTGAAATCTTTAAATTTTAACTTAAATATAAAAACTCTTCAGTAAAAAATTATCATCATCAAATGTGTTTTAACAATTTCACAAAAAAGAAATAAAAAGATAAGGATGCATTCAGAAATAAATTCTAAGCAAATACAAAATTTTTTCTAAATTTTAAAATATAAGCATACATATATAAGCAAATACAAAATTTTTTTAAATTATAAAATATAAGCATACATATATAAGCAAATACAAAATTTTTTTAAATTATAAAATATAAGCATACATATATAAGCAAATACAAATTTTTTTTTAAATTATAAAATATAAGCATACATATATAAGCAAATAAAATTTTTTAAATTACAAAATATAAAAATAAAAATGAGTAATTAAATCTTATAGAGAGTTTTTGTTTAAAAAATTTTTACTGAGTTTTATTAACTTTCAGCTTCTTAAACATTTTTACTGAGTTTTATTAACTTTCAGCTTCTTAAACATTTTTACTGAGTTTTATTAACTTTCAGCTTCATACATGAATGAAACGTATAGAAACAACAATAATTATTAAACAACACAATTCTCATTATAAATACATGTTTTTTCTCTAAATGAATAGTATACTACGCCATATGAACTTGAAACTTATTATTGTATTATTGTTAAAACACAATTGATGATGATAATTTTTTCCTGAAGAGCTTTATATATATTTAATTTGAAATTAAAAAATGTAATTTAATAAAAATATCTTTTTATTTCTTATAAATGAATTTAATAGGTATATCATATAAATACAATATTTGGTCAAAATTTGATCTAAAATTTTGGCTTGATTAATTCAAATTTCTTTTCTACATTGAAGCTGTAATTATAAATATATTTTACAATAAAAAAATATTTACAAATAGTATAAATATTTATAACTTTTATATGTACAAAACTAGTAACTGTGATTTAAAACACATAGTGGTGTAGTGGTAGATCGCTTACTTTGTAAACAAAAGGTTCCAAGTTTAAACTTTTTGAGAAAAAAATCTGTTTACCTGTGATAAAAATGGTTGTATTCTAGATTTTAGTGTAATAAGTTTTTCTAGTGATTTTTCAATCACAGAAGGAAATGAAATTAAACGCAAAGTATGTCCAGTAGGAGCAGTATCAAACACTACAACAGAATAGTCCATACTTCGAACCAACCTAATAAGCAATATATAAAAAAATTTTAAAACATATTTAATTCCTACTCGTTACTTTATCAAAAAATTTAAAAGTAAATCTAAAATCAAAAATTAAAGTATGCTTTGCTAAAAAGAACAAAATAAAATATGTTTTGTAAAGAAGAACAAAAAAAAAGAAAAACAAAATAAACTATGTCTTAATAATTATAGTAGTAGTAGTAGTAGTAGTAGTAGTAGTAGTAGTAGTAGTAGTAGTAGTAGTAGTATTCTCTACGAGCCCTTATGTTACAAAATGATTGCCCTTAGCGTTAATTTTGAGCCATTATGTTACTCAAAGTGCCCTTATGTTACGCTGAAGCCCTTATGTTACTTTTTAGCCCTTATGTTACCGCAAATCCGTAGCGTAAGGGCAAAAATAGCCCTGGTGCTACATTAAAAGGTAGGATGAGGGCACTTACCTTGAAACTAAAACAAATGTGTAAGCGAGCAAGTTTAAATATGGTAGAGTTTCGCCAGTAATGCGATGATCGATATTGCTTTATTGTGTATGTTTTTATAGAAATAATTGTAATTATGTTTAATTGTTTTGGAATTTAATTCCTTATTAGTATGTAAATATTTTTTATTTGCATTAAATGTTTAGTTTGAAAATAATAGTTTAATTTAATTGAATACAACTATTGTTTTTAGAAATTTTTAGTTTGTAATAATTTTATTTATATTACGATAGCCATTAAATACTGTAACTATACATTAATGTTTGTAACAATATTAGATAATTTTTTTTTTTTAATACCAAATTTTAAATTTATTTTTCCTTGATGATGTAAAATTAATAAATATACCAAATTTTAAATTTATTCCTCCCTTGATGATGAAAAGTTAATAAAAATATAATAAAGTTATAAAAAAAAAAAAAATTTAGATTTTGTTGAAAGAATGTTTTTTTGTTTTTTTTTTTAATAAGTTTTTAAAAAATTAAGTTATAGGAAACTTGATGGATGAGGACCTTATGTTTTATTTGTCACATGATCAATCAAATATTTTGTATTCCGCATTAGCTGTATCATTTAAATTCATTGAGGTACTTTTAATTCACTTTTCCTCAAAGAATTTTTTGTTGCTAATTATTGTTATTATATCCACTCCATGCTTCGGTTTTCAAAAAAAATTGTGTTAGAAATTTGTTTAGTTTTTTGTATAGGTTTTTAATGATTCGAAAGAAATGTGTAATATTATTACATATTACTAATATGTTGTATTAGTAATATGAAATATATTACTAGTATTTTAATTCACATTTTACTTGTAATATGAAATATATTTTTAACAATATAAATTAAAGAGTCATAATTTTTTCATTTAATTTTAATTTTTCACTTGCGCTTCAGCATAAAGTCACAAAATTTAAATTTTTATGTTAAGTCATCTTTTTCATCAATTTAATCTTTAATTTAATGTTAGTGATCATATTTTTAAAATCGTTTATTACATATAATGTTATTAAATCAGTTATTTAATAATAATAACTGTTATTATAGTTTTTTACGTTATTATAAGTGTCTTACTATCCATCGAGAGTTAATGTGATCCTTTTTAAGCATTAATGTGCTACTTATTCTTATAGGGTATTATAAAGATAGCAAACTTGTTTGTATATCATAAACATGCAAGTTTGGCATAAATTTTATGCATTGTAAAGTAAACATGATTCTTTCTAATAAGTATTATTTTTCAAAAGGTTTTAAATATTAAAACAATGGAAGAAAATGTTTTGATACTGTGTGTGCTGTGTAAAAGACCAATAGATAATTGTTGTAAAAGTCAACTGTGGGAAAACGATGCTTACAAAATTTGCAAGGCTTGGGCAGGTTTTTTTTTAATGTTTTAATTTATTCAAGTTTTTTATGTTTATTTATTACATAAAAAAGTTACTAAAATACTTAAAAACTTATTCATTATGTATAGATTCATCGTGTGATATTTCCTACAATGAGGGCATTATATTAATTGAAAGAGGTTTGTTTTTACTCAGCTGACACATTGCTTGTGAGTTGTGAGGTCTTAATTTATTTTATAACTTAATAAACTTTAAATTATCAATATAACATGCTATATAACATAATATACATTTTAAACATAATATACTAAATTATAACCTGTATGCAGCTCTTTAAAATGAAATAAGCTCAATAAATTGCTGATTTTTATTTATTACATTAAGTTTTCCAAAATTTTACACAAAAATCTATAGAAGAAGTTATATCTTCATCATTGTTGATGTTTATTTCTTCTGGTCAAGTGTACTTTATTAATATTATTGTGTAAATAAATTAGCAAATTTAGGTATTACTAACCAAGTATTTTTGTGTTGTGTTTTAGAGAGTGTGGCAAAAAATTTATTATTTCTTATTTTTGTTTTGCAGCTCTATAGTTACAATATATATAAAGCTAGTGGAAAAGCAAAAAATAAACATTGATTAAAATTTATATATATGTATTATTTAAAATTTATTACAATAACACTTTATATTAAGATAAAAACTAATAGATAATAAAAGAGTCATAAGACTATTTTTGATTTGTATTTTATAGGAAACCTTAAAGACGAAGACCTAATGTATCTTTTACCAGAAGATAAAAAAAAATTTTTTTTTTGTGCTCTTTCAAAATCATTTAATAGTCATAAGGTATGAAATATAAAGTTATTATTAAATAAATAAATATATAAATAATTTAAATATACCAGAGGCTATTCTAGGAAAAATATTTGTGCAGTGTAACCCTCTGTCCTGGCAAAATTTAGTGAAAATATTGCTGAATGTAGGTGTTTTTTTTGGCAAAAAAGTTTGCCATAAATAAGTTCTCAGTTTTGAATTTCTGCAGCACCCAAATAAGGTCAGCTCTGTCAAAAACGATCTAGAATAGCCTGTTTTCATATATATACTGGTGTAGGATCAAGAGATGGCAGGAGCAATTCCCCCCTGAAAATTTTTTTTAACTTTAATTTTTTTTTCATTCAAACTATATTTTTGAATTTAGCCTCTTTAGTTTTTGTTTTTATACCCACTCCCCCTATCAACATGATTAATGCTGACATTTTTCTAACAAATGACTATATATATATATATATATATATATATATATATATATATATATATATATATATATATATATATATATATATATATATATATATATATATATATATATATATATATATGATATATATATATATATATATATATATATATATATATATATATATATATATATATATATATATATATATATATATATATATATATATATATATATATATATATAAATATTTGTTAGCAGTGTTCTTATATGACTTTTAATATTAATATTTTGGTTTGCAATTTAATATAAATTATTACTTGTTTTAATATAAATTTGCTAATTTACAAATTCCTGTCCAACCCCTAATACTTAGTTGATTTAAATAAGCAAACCCTGTTAGCTTACTAAATTAATAACATGTAAACATATAAAATTTATTATACATTTATGAATCTATTGTGTTATAGGCTGAAGTATTGTTAAGTTCATATTCTTTGCATTGAAGTTTATATTTATTTTAACATTTTAGCATTTTTGACCTTAGAGTTTTATTTTACAATTTTGTATTGACCATTTTATTTTTGCTAGTATTGCATAAATTAAGTGAACTTGAACAGGCAGAATTTGTACTGCAATGTTGTTCAACCTTCTAAGCGCACAAATTTAAGGCTAAAGATAGTTGATATTTAGAATAAAAATAAAATTTTTGCTTTTTATGTGTATTTTGATTACTTTATTTATTTATTTATTTTAATTCATTTTGTTATAAATATTGTTGAACTTATTTGAGGAATAATGAACTGTTAAATAAAATCTCAGATGAAGATAATGATTTTATTTTGGGTAATAAATTATATTGTTTGTCAAGTTATGAAGATATTTTTACAAAACCTTATAAAGGTTTCTAAAAGTTAATTCAAGGTTTTGGTAATCAGTTAAAGAAGACTTAATATTTGTATGACAATTTATTTTAATGACGATAAAAAATTATTATTATAAACTATTATTATCCTTTTTTAATAATAGTATAAATATTATTATTTTACTTTAGAAACAAATATTACATTGGAAAAAGAAAAGGTATGCATTCATTTTATTCTCAATTATGCAATTACACCTTAAAAAGTATAGGTTTCTAATGTATAGGTTTTCTCCTGTTTCTAATGATTTGGTTGAGAGTTCCTCACTCAATATTGTTAATGTTGAAACAGAGAGGTATTTTTGATTTTAATGCAAATATAGGAACAATACATAAATAATGCATCTGCCCTTATTCTCTTTCTTAATCATTTAAATTATCTCCCTTACTATGTAGTATAACAAATCAACCATCAATTGGAATTGACAAGGGTAGTAAGATTGATACCACCAAGGTTAGCCTAACTTCCCTTTTTTTTAATATTGTGTTCAAGGTAAAATTGATTTAAAGAAATAAAAAAAATTTACAGACTTGTTCTTCAGTTGTGCCTTTGTTTAAAAAAGTTGTCAAGTTGAGGAATAAAGTAAAGTGCCCTGTTTGTGGAAAGTAAGTTTCAAAATTAAAGTTTTTTAAGGTAAATTTTTTTATTGATATAATTTTTAACAGATTCATAAGTTTTTTTTTTTTTTTTTTTTTTTTTAAAAGATTCATATTCAACTTGAAAAGACACCTAATAAAAAAACACAAATGGGATGAAATTAAAGCCAAATCAGCTCGCCTTAATTTTAGGCTTAATGCAAAAAGGAAAATTTTGACCCCTACCAAAAGAAAATCAAAAAAAAAAAAAAAATTATAAAAGAAAAATTTGTCCCATGCTCCATTGCACAAAAGAGTTACTTAGACTCGGAAATCATCTGAGACAGTTCCACAAATAGTCTAATTTTGAGACAAAAAGTATTTATCTAATGCTGTAGTTGTAAATGAGAATCTTGAAAGCGAATCTGATAAGGAAAGTA